TTTTGTTTCTGTAAATCTTCTGTAAGGGAATAGTTCTGTATGTTTAGTCTTTTCCTTTCAATTTTCATCTTTAACAAGCACTTCGTGTGAGGGTTGAGTTTATTTTTTCATTTAAAACTTAGGTTAAACAACTTCTTGTTAAAACTAAGGTTGTTAATAAAATGAAATTGTAACTAATTGTAGAAAAAAGTATTTTTTCTTTGCAAGGACATATTCGACATATCGACCTCATTTTAGATTATATATAACCCAAAAAGTGATCAGATGTTGTACGTCATACTCAATTCTAGAAATATGAGATGCTAGTCATATTTTTGAAACGTGAAAAAGTGTCTTTGATATTGTCTGAAGGGTAAGCAATGTATATGATATTAATATCGCTTCTTTTTAAAAGTACTAGTTGTACACCTGTACAATGTACGGGTTTTGGTATTTTTAAGGTAATATTAGTGTATCATAGTAATGGTATTGTGAAAGGTCAGTAAGTTTTTATCTAATAAAATTTAATAATGAAAAATATTATCTCATAATCCTTGAAGTTCTGAGCTTCAGTTGATCTCTACAGAAATGGAAAAGAGTTTCTATTATGTGCATAGAAATTAGTGATATACTTTATTTAATGACAATAATAGATGAAAAGTATAAAGATGAAAAAGTAATATTAGTCGTTGTAAGTCTTATAGGGAGAAGTGAAAGATGATGTCACCAAAAGTAATCGACTAAGGCATTACTGGTTTTATAATTGAAATATTACTTCAAGGAACAAAAAGTGCTACATGTGAATGGTTAAAGAATCTGTACTTTTAACCTGCTATGATCACGAACAATTTTGACCATGAATGTGTGCTCCTTGTTATTAAGAGGATCATATGTCTCAATTCATAGTAAAAATTCCCGAATTAAGTTCACAAAAACATTTGAAATTTACAATCACATATGGTAATGATTTAACAAAAAAAAAACTTCGCTAGTTTATATTATAATTAATCAACAACACATATTCGTTATGAAGGTGGAGCAGAGAAGATAAAGTAAACGAAACT